GAGAGAGAGAGAGAGAGAGAGAGAGAGAGAGAGAGTAAGTTGAGCATCACGTTTAGGTGTCTTAGGTGTGTTTTGAAGAAGAAGAAAGATAAAAAGAAGGTAAAGAAGTTCAAACGTTTTGTCACACAATCAAACGAAAAATGGGGTAAAAGCATAGAGAATAGTAGCACACACTGGTTGTAAATAAAAGAAGGTAAAGGTAGTTAGGTAAAGGGATATTATCAAACAAGCAAACAGGCATGGCATTCAAGCATTCATTCTAATACGTGGGACACTTCGAAACTTCAGGACTAGAGAGAGTATATCAATAGAGCAATATGATGAGCAATGGTGGAGAGAAAAGGAGGAAAGAAGATTGAAGCAGTTATTAGGATTTCTTTTGAGGAGTGCTATTCACGGTGATTGAAGGAGGAGGAGAAGTTGGGAATAGGTCATCGCAGGCGGCTTTATAATCATCATCAAGATTGAGCTCAGAAAAAAGATGTAAAAGATAAAATAGGATTAAAATTAAGATAAAAGAAGGTACAGAGCTGCATTGAGAGATGTCAGCAGGGATTGAGAGAGAGTTGAAAAGTTAGTAATAGAGTAAAAGGGAAAGTAGGAAGGAATTTTGGAAGGAAGTGGTGGTAGTGGTGGTAGTAGTTTGAATGAGGTTGATTGGTAAAAGATTGGATGGAGAAGGTGAAGATGAAAACGGTGGTGATGGGGGTGATGATGGTGATGGTAGTGATTATTAGGCAGTGTAGTTGGTCAGCGAGCGAATGAAGACGTCCTGCGGCACTGAACGACGACGAGGCTGATTGAGGTGACCTCCATTATTACCTCCTCCTCCTCCATTACCTCCGCCTGTGTTGGCGCCCAAACTGGCGAGGATCACCTGGTACGGTAAGTGGTGAGGATGGTGAAGGTGGTGGTGGTGATGTTGTTGCAGGTGGTGAACCGCACTGAAGGTGTGCATGTCAAAGAGCGAGGAGACGGGAGGAGGAGCTCCCACAGCAGCAGCAGCAGCTCGATAAGAGTTGGCACTTGTCTTTGGTGGTCGACACTTGCCCGACTTTTTGGCGCCCAGATTATCTCCCGCAGCAACTGCCATCTTCACCGCCGGAAATGAGGATCGTCGCTTGGCGGCCGAAGAGTTTGCCTTCAGCTTTGTGTTGCGCAGCAGCAACAGCTGGCCGGTTTTGCTGTTTGAGGTGAGGTCATTCTTGCGAATGTCAATGCAGCCCGGGGCAGAGCCGCGTCGGTGGTAGCTGTAGTACGACTGCAAAAAAAAGAAAATTAAATGTTAGAAAAAATTTCCTATTGAAACAACCAAACTTAGGTTACCTTTTCAATGTAGTAGTTGGGTAAAAGAAGAGCCGGCGTGGAAAGAATCGCCCCACAGTCGTCATTGAAGCGGTCCGCAACAAAGTCATCCTCATCTTCATCCAGCTCCTGTTTGCTTTGCTGCTCCAGAGCAGCCGCCGTTCGAACAACAATCGCCGATGCGTGCTGCCTGGCAATCTCTGCCGCCGTTTTAGCACTACCTCCCAGTGGAGGCGTTCCGCACCCGTTGATGCACTTCTTGGGGGCTGGTGCTGCCGTTGTTGAAGTTGTTGTGGCGGATAAAGCAGCCGCCAGAGCCATCGCTTCCGCCTCCGCCTCGGCCTTCTTTGCCGCCTCTCGCACAGCCTTCGCCTCGGCGAGCAGCTCCGCCGCGACGGCGTCCAGCGATGCGGGCAGACTGCGCGTGCTGCTGATGATCACCAGCGACTTGGAGCGCTTCAGCGTGCCAAAGCCTTTCTGGAACTTCTCAAAGTGCTGTTGCAGCAGCTGGCGCTGGCTTTTGCCCCCGGTCTTTTCCGTCGTCACCGAGCTCAACTCTGATCTGTCGGAGGCGACGCTGCTGCAACGATGTTGTTGCTGATGTTGCTGTTGCTTTCCAGAGCTCTGTCTGCTCAGCGACGGCTTTCCCTCATTCGCCAACGTGTTCCACATAAAGTCGTTAAAGTTGAGGTTGTTCAGCAGCTGCCGACTGAGCTTCGAGTCGAGGTAGACGTTCCACAGCTCAAAGAGCGGTCGGACGATGTTGGTGAAGAACTCTGAGGAAGGAAAAGGTTTTGAGGTTTAGAGCCAGGTTTTTCTAAGACTTAAACTCACCAGTCTGAATACTGGGGATTGTCATGGCCGTCCGATCACAGATGCTCGTCACCGGAAGTCCCAGCTGCCGCTCAAAGTCGCCCTGACGGTAGAACTCATTGCAGATCTGCTCGCTCCACTTCTGACTGACCTTCCAGCTGCGACAGGGATTGCCCAGGTCGGCGCACTTCAGGGCAATCTGCAGCACAAAGTGCTTGTCCTCCAGTTTGCCCAGCGAGAAGCCGCTCCCTGGCTGAACTACGCCTCGAAACTTGACCAGAAACTCCCCCTGGCGGCTAATGTCGGTCGCCAGGATCAGGTGTTGCAGGAGGTACTCAATCTCGCGCCACTGCGCCTGCGAGAGGTGGTCAAAGATGTGCGACTCGTAGAAGCAGCTGAGGGCGAAGCGCCAGTGATGCGACTCAAGCACAGAGAAGTTCTAAAAGGAAGGGAAAAGGAGGTTGTCAGCAAGTTGATAAGCAATCTTATCAGCAGCCGCATTCTTACGTTGTAGAGGGCGGCCAGGTGGCTCTTGGTGGCCACCAGGAAGCTCTGATTTACACCGGGGTGGTCGAGGTCGTGGGAGACGGCGGCCAGCAGGGCGACCATCGCCTCCATTGGAGTCAGCTGAGAGCTGATCTTCTCCTCCTGGAGGAAGCAGTGCATCGCCTGGGTGACATCCGCTGCGTGCACCGAGTTGTGGTAGGGATTGGTGTCGTGGTAGCCCTTTTCCAGAAGATCTGGGTGGAAAGAGAGAGGAGTTTAAAAGGAGTTCGAAAAAAGTCCTCAAAATGCAGCACTCACAGAAGCACCGAAGGACGTTGATGACATCAAGCTGGAAGGTCTCAATGAAGCGGTACTGCTTGAAGAGGTACATCAGCAGGGCGCTGAGCGAGTGGCCGCCGGTCAACAGGTCCAGGGAGAAGGTGTTGAAGCTCCAGCGACTGGCCTGGGCGAGGTAGCGCTCGGTGATGCCGTAGTAGCAGGGGTCGAGCAGTGAGATCGCCTCCGAGTGGATGCTCGCCTGAAGGCTCTTCCGCCGCAGCGTCAGAAAGAGGGTGACGCTCTTTCCGTCGTCCGATTCGCGGCCTGTGGGAAAAACGATGGTGGGGAACAAGATTTGAATGTGGAAAATTAGGTTTGAAAAAAGAAGAAGAAAAAGATTTCAAATCGAGTGCACTTACGCTCAACGCTGGACGCCAGCGAGCCCAGCGAGGCGAGCGACTCTCGCCGAAGTTCAGGATCTGAAAGGAAAGTGAAGAAAGAGAAAATGAAATTACCGATCAACATCATTGCTGCTTCTTTTTTCTTTTTGCTTTTCTTTTGATGTGACATTTCGTCAACATCTTTCGGCAGTTTAAACCAGTGGAGACCACCACCACCACCAGTTACCACTACTTACCCAAACTCCAGTTGAAGCACAGCGTCTGGTCGTCCTGTGAGGTGATGCTAATGAAGGCGGGCGCAATTCCCTGGACAAAAGAGAGAGGAAGAGGAGGAAAAAGCGCAAAAACGAAAGTGAATAAAATGAAGACGAGAAAAGGGAAAGGAAAGGTAGAGAGAAAGAGCGAAAAAGGAGAATTAGAGGAAAGAGCGGCCGCACTCGGATTTCATGAAACATTTAGCGCAATAGCTCTACTTCGGAGCTGAGTTTCATCAGCTCTTCAGCTCTTCACCACCACCACCATTACTACTACTCAGTGAGTACCTCTACACCAAAAACCTGAGCACCTAAGCGCACTGAATCTGTATAATGACACCACCACCGTGCAGTGCCTAAAAAAGCAGCACCTAAAGATTGAGTCCTCTTGCTCACCAATCAGTGCAATGAAAGTTAGTGAATGAAAGTGAATGAATGAACGAGCGTGTGTGTGAGTGTTTATGAATAATTGATTGACCAGGCAATTAGGTTGTGATCAGCGGCAGCAGCAGCAGCTGAGGAAGCTGTCAGTGTTGCCTTCTCTTGTAATAGTGTCTGTCTGTCTGTCTATCTTTCCGTCGTAAGCCGATTAGTGTCAATTAATCGCTCATTAGAGCACCGAAGTAGGGATCTCTTTTCTGCTGCTGCTGCCGCCGCCGTAGCCGCAATCGAAGCTCTCTTATACTAAAAGCGCTCTTGTACAGCTGCAGCATCGAACATGTACGACGGCGGCTTTGCTGCTGCTGCTGTAGCAGGATAGGACAATTGACAAAACTCAAAAGCCTTGTCAGATGATGCTTTAGAGCTTCAGCTTCAACTTCAACTGAAGTTTTTCAGCCATTTGATTTCCCAAGCTGACTGCCTGCCTGCCTGCCATTCATAATCTGTTGAAGTTGTCGTTGGAGCACCTCGACAACGACGTCGCAACAGCAGAGTTGCTGCTGTTGTTGCGACACAGCTTCTCGCTCTCCTCCTGGTCACCGAGGAAATTGAGAGACCTACTCTGCCAGCTACTTTTTGGTGGTGGTAGTGGTGGAAGATGACCCTGTATCCAACCACTGACGACTGCATCATCATCATCATCGGCATCATCATCATCGACTGGCTTTCTTTTTTCAGCCCCGCACTGGTCCCTCTATTTACGACACTTACTCTGTTGCTGCTGCTCTAGATATTTAATACTCTCGATGACTTTGCCAAACTTTGGCAGTTTGACTGCTCGATTACTACAGCATCATCACCACCACCACTACTACAACTAAAAGCTAGTAGACGTACTACTACACAAAAGATGATGTGTCTGAAACTGACTGACTGGCTCTGATTGTGAGTGTAAGTGTGAGTGAGTGAGTGTTTCCATTTGCTGCTATTTATACTGCCTTCCTCGACTAGCGAGTGAGAGAGTACTAGCACTAACTAGCTAGGCTAGCTGTTCGCCGACTGACTGATATCACCGCCGCCGACGCCGTCGGAGTGCATGTGACTAACTGTACAAAAGGCAGCCGGTCTTTTTCCCTCTTTCATTCTCTTTCTCTCTCAGTTTACGGCTGCTGCCGAGATTTGTGTGTTTGTGCATCGGCGGCGGCGACGATGACGGCAGCTGCAGAGTGCACTCAACTGCTGCCGCTGAAAGAGGAAAGCCCGACTAAAAGTAGGTGGTTGTGGTGGTGGTGGTGGTACTTCTACCTCTCTTCCTTCTTTTTCCATCTCCTTCTCAAGAAGACAAACACAAACACCCATATGGGTTGTAAATCACCGCCGCCGCAAGTGCACTCACTGGCTTTCCTGCCATTGTTTGAGCTAATGANACTCAACTGCTGCCGCTGAAAGAGGAAAGCCCGACTAAAAGTAGGTGGTGGTACTTCTACCTCTCTTCCTTCTTTTTCCATCTACTTCTCAAGAAGACAAACACAAACACCCATATGGGTTGTAAATCACCGCCGCCGCCAGTGCACTCACTGGCTTTCCTGCCATTGTTTGAGCTAATGAAAGAGGAGGAGGAGGAAGAAGAAAAAGAAAAAGATGTTCAGCATGTTCTCTTACCGTATCCGACTCAAAGTGCTGCACCAGCGTCCACTCTGAGGGGAGGAAGTTGCCGGTGGTGCTGTCCGTGGAGCTCCGTTTGCGGCTGTTGAAACGCATGCAAGTGCTGTACGGGAACATTTTGGTAGAGATGAGGTGATAAAATGAGCTGAAGTGAAGTGAAGGTAAAAGAGTTGAGCTGAGGGTGAAGAAGGAGGTAAAGTTGAAAAGATGCTGCTGCTGGTCACTGGAGTTGAGGAGCTTCAGAAGCGGAAGTTGAGGTGGCTTTTGAGAATGAGGCGACGCTGCTTCTGCTGTCGCCGCGACTGCTCTTAGGCACAGGGGAACACATTTTGTGGTGATGACGTGAGTTGAAGAGATGGAGATGAAGACTAAAATTAAACTGATCAGCCGAAGGAGGAAGAGAGATTTTGTATGTGTCAGCTGCAGTGATATCTAAATTTGGTAAAGCTAAATAAAATTTATTGACAAGCACTACTGCTGCTTCTGCTTCTGCAAGGTAATGCCGCTGCCATCACTGCCGCCCGCTGATGATCCTCGCCATCATCATTTGAAGTTCAGCGGCAGCAGCAGTAGTTTTGAAGTTGCAAAAAAGAGCTTCAAGTTTGAATGTGATTTTCGTCAACAACAAACAAACAAACAAACAAACAAACAAACAAACAGTGTCGCCAGAGTTGCTTTGAAGTTGCTTGGAAGCTAAACGTCGTGTGTTCTTTTGACGTTCGACTTGTGATGCCGCCGCCAATGAACGTCGTTGCAACCACTGCAACTACCACGGCTTTTCTGCTGCTGCGGCTGCTGTGACTACAACTGCTGCTGCTGCAAACGGCGCGGAACGATCGTCAAAGTTGCCAGCCCTGCCAGCACCACCACCGCCACCACCACCACCTAAAAGGTGGATGTGAATGGGATGAATGGTAATGGTAATGGTAATGGTCGTTGTGCTGGTGATCGTCGTTGTTGTAGAAGGCCAATGGTGCAATTCAGCTGAAGCTGAAGCTGATGATGAACGAGCACTGAAGGTGATGACAGCGGAAAGGCTGCTGCTGCTGCTGCTGCTGATCCTGTCACGGGCGAGGATGCAGGTTTTGCTGATAAGAACTGGTAGAGCTTCCGAAGCTTTCAATCTACAGACTGTCCACTTCTGTGCTAAAATCAAAGTTGAAGAATGCCGATTTCTTCTTCTTCAGGAATTCATCATCGTCACCGCTGCTGCTTCTGTTGTGTTATTTCTCAGTGGACAAACTGTGTTGACTACCACCGACGAACTGATACTGTCACTGACAGCGCAGACGGCAAACACACACACTCAGACACTCAGACAGAGACCAAAACAGACAGACCGCCTAGCAGACCAGTGCTGCTGCTGCTGCTGATGTTGTTGCTGGTGGTGGTGCTGAAAACAGAAGAGAAAAGGAAAGAGAGACCACCGTCGTTGCTGCCGCCGTCGCCGCTAACATCATCTCATATCGAAGTCTGACTGACTGAGCTGAGCTCTGCTGTGAGCTCTCAGACCACACGACAACGACAACGACATCGACATCGGCCGCAGCAGCAGCAGCAGCCAAGGCAGCCAAAGCAGGCGAAAAATCTGGTCGCGCTTGCTAAGTGAGAGAGAGAGAACGCGGGAGACTCTACTGAGACACTTCTTCTCCTGTACTCTCCTCCTTCCTTCCCTGTTTCCTTCTCTTCTTCTTTGGAGAGTAGCTCACGCCAATCAGCCGCCACCACCACCGTCGTCGCCGAAATGAGAGCAACGA